TAGCAAAAGCAAGTGAGCAGTTATCCGTATTTCAAAACTAAACAGATTGTTAGTAAGATTAATTTAGCAGATTAAAGGTTTGGATATTAGGAGTTTTGCAAATACACAAGTATACTCTCTGTTAAGAGAAATGTTTGTATCATACTGATCTTGCTAGGAATTCTACTAACTTTACAGGTCCTCATCTAAAAGTTAACTGATGTAAGGAAAGACTTGTACATTTCTGACACCAGAAGTAAATTCAAAGATGGCTCAAAAGAAGGCAATAAATTTTCAGAGTAGGTAAATTAGTAAATGAAGTGGTAACTTAAAATGAAGTTACTGAAGCAGGAATAAAATCCATGTTAAAATTCTCTCATATAAACACTAGATATAAGTAAGTTATATATACATGTGCAAAGTATAGTGTACCAATGTAGAGAGAAAGAGAGAGAAATGTTCTACAAAACATGCAAAAGTCAATGTATTATTTCATTAATGTTTGTGAATGAACATTGAAATGTCTATATACCTGGCCTGAGCAGAGGTGAACAAAAATTTGGAGAGTTGAGTTACTAAAGGAAATTAACTGAACATGGAACTAGAACAATCTATCCCATGGTTCAGTTCAAAATTCCAACATATATTACCTGAAGAAGGCCAGAGCGTACAATGGCTGAAACATCATGAATATGACAGTAAAAATGAAGACAATAGTCTGAACAATATAAATAGTGTAAATTAAAATATTAGCAAAGTATATCATCCTTGTTTGTTATTCAAATATTGGTTATATAAAGTAAGTTTTTTTATTTTTTTAGTCATTGTATTCTTTGTTTTAAAATATTTATATATTTAATTATAGCATTTATGCATACATATTTATAAATCTACATGCATATAGTCATATGGATTGATATTTACATATAAAAACTAAAATTTTATTTTACACTTTATACTGCAGTTAATTGATATGTATAAATATATATGGACATTTATTTAAGTATCTAATGAGATTTATCAGTAATTTAATGAAAAATAAAGATTGAAAATAATTTCAAAATATTGTGCAATGGCAACGGTGTGTATAAACAGAAATATTAAGAAAATTAATTATTCTTATTTGTTAATCAAATTTTAATTATTGTCATAAGTACATGTCTTAATGTTACCTTCATTCTTTATTATACAATGGTCAGCTGAAAAGTTCATAGACTGACCAAGATATAAATGCAAGTAGACACACCAGTTGGTAGACTAAAAGATATGCAAGTGTACCAGAGTACAACAGTTACATGTGTGTCTACTTACATTTATATCTTGGATAGCCTATGAACTTTTCATCTGACCCTTGTATCTTGAACAAGTTTATCCATGCCATCAAAAAATGATAGCAATATTTAAGAATTTTTTCAACTGCATTGTATGTATAGAATATTAAAAACTTTTCTTGCATGTTCAACAAAGACACTGGCATATGGCATCACCAGTGCAAGTGAGATCATCTATTAATCTCACATTGGTGACATTAAAAGTTGCAAACAGAAAATATACAAATTCACTTGGTATATTATATAGTAATATTGTCTGAAAAACTCACTTATAAGGTGATACTATTTTTCAGTAACTCTTAAATAGGTACCTCCAATAATTTGCTAAAAAAAAGAACATACCATGTTTAAAAAATGTCCAAACTGGATAAAAATAAAGTTTTAATGTCAAAATCTTTATGATACTATTAAGAGGAAAGACCAAAGTATTTTTTGATTATTTAATTATATTTTTTTTATCCTTTTTAGAACCTTTGGAATTTTGGTTAAAATCTTGTTTTTTTCGCATCAGCAGGGGTAACTATAAATTAGCATAGCAAATTTTAGCATCTTTTTTGTGGTGAAAAACACTTTGATTTGGAAATTTTGCAAAAATCAAATAATAGTTGGATTTTAATGAAACTTTCAGAACTTATTCACAAATGAATGAAATTATTCTAGAAATTTTTTTGTTTTAAATATTGGGAAAAATATTTTTTTTTGTGTCTGTTATCCCCAAACTTATTTAAATTTATGAAATTTTGAGAAATTAAATTTGTAAGGATTAATGTTTATATTAGTAATATGCAGAACTCCTTAGAGAATTTAAATCAGTTACCAAAAATCTCCTCTGAATCATAAAATAAAAATGCAGTAAGACTAACACATTATTTAATTAGAAAAACTTTTAATTGTTTTTATGAATAAGATATTTTAAGGACACTACTGAGCAAAGAAAAAAATTTCAGTAAATAATGAAATTTTACAAGAATTGTTCTTAGTTTTTAACATTTTTATTAAAGTTTTAAATCTTTTAAAATTCTGTATTAATTTGTAAGATTTAAGTGATATTGTTATTAAGTAAAAACTATACTATTAATCATAAATCAAAGCTTATTACAATTTAGTGATCATCATTATTTTAAAAAGAATTTTGATTTTTTTGTATGTGTATAAACATGCCAATTTTTGTAGATACAGGTGTTCATACACAACATTATCAAAAAATAAGAGTGATAACTATCGTAAATTTAAAGTCAAAGCACATTGAATTCAATAAAACATTAGATTATGGAGAATATTTTCCTAAATTTTTAAGGTTACCGAGTACTTAAAAATTACATAAAAAAGGTGCTCATGTTATATTCCTTTATTATTTTTTACAGATATATCCACTGTAGAAAAACAGATAAACTTCCATGTCATTCAAGCTGTTAACACCTTAAATAAACAGCTATAGATGTGTTAAAAAATGCATTTCTGCGATATTTCAAATTTAAAGTAAGTTATATATGTTTCAAATCAGATTAATTTAACTTTAAATAAGCTAATATTTCTCAAATAAAGTTTCAGAAAAGTATATTCTATTTTTGGAAGATTTTTTAATAAAGAGAATTGCATTCTGATAAAAGGTGGCTAAAAATGGTGCTAAAATCAATAATTTCAGCAGTTTCAAAGTGAAATCTCCTTCCAATCAATTTAAATTAATTTTGAAATAGAGCAAAGTATTTTGTTTATTAGAAATATTAAATTTAATCTATTAGCTTGAAATTAAAAATAAAATAAAAGCTTCAAGAAAGACTTTACATTTTTAAAAATTCATTTTAAACTGAATTTGTGGAGGTACCTACTCTTAAAGAATCAGGGAAAGCCAAAGATCAGTTAACCCTAATCTGTTATGTTTATGTCCAGGTCATTGTGGCTTTTGTTTCCTCTTCAGGTATGTAAAATAAAACTTAGTAAGTTCAAATGGTCACCAGTCTAAAGACGGATTAGATTTCATGATGTAAGAAGTAAGTATACACACTTACACCATAATCATAGGAAGTATACACAGTTACACCATAATCATAGTAAGTATACACACTTACACCATAATCATACACATTTACACATAATCATAGCAGAATCATAAACACTCATGCTTCATATATATTTGTCTTTTTATTTTTTGGTTCTGTCTGGCTAGCTATCTTAGTATGTTAACAATTTCTTTATTTATCAGTTCAATCCCTTATTTTGTTCATGTCTCTATCTGTTTTCGCTTGTCATACCCATTAAGCTGCCTATGTAAATGGAGTGGGTACAATGCATATGATGGGAGCTGATTTTGTAAGGAAATTGTGGAAAGTTAGAGAAATGAGCCCAATTTTCACTATGACAATTCAGCTATAACTTTAAAACAATCATCCTTTGTAGAAATAGTATATTTATTTGTTTATCTGTAATTTCACGAATCCTCATCATGCCTTTTTCTCTGCTTGGTGGATTAGGGTTTAACAAATTTATCTTTAGCACCCATATTCAGTTATCTGTGTCCCAGTAAAAATTATGTTTGAATAGTAATTTTCAAAGCAGATGGTATACAATCTTCCTACTCTTTAGATCTTAGTAATTATATAGATTCATAAAATCTGTAATACTTGTGTTGTTTAAATATCTATCATTGTTGTGCAGTCATTTACAAGCTGGATTTGAAAGAGATACTGATACAACTGATGACTACTGGGTGCTCCTTAAATACAGACATCTACCTGATTAAACTAAACTTCCATGGCATTTTCATCTATCAGTCAAATCTCCTGATAAAGACACATATATTCTTGTTTATTACCCCATAACTTAGTTTAAAATATTTCCTTTTCTACCATTCATTCCTGTATTCCTGTCCTAACTTTATGCCTCTGTGTCTCATCTCACAAGTTGTTTGTTGCTATCAGAAGAGGTCAAACAATAAAGATCAGATCAAAACAATTACACTCATTCACAAATGTTCATGCTTAAACTAAATACTCAAGTGTGCTTATATATTTCTGTGTGTGTGTGTATATATGAATATACATTATACACCTGTTGAACAAGTAAATCTGTTGATCTGAAATGAACTTTAATATAATCACCTCCAACTTAAACTCCATTTGATTATATGGGTTTTTGAGGTCATTCAAACTGCTGATCATGCTGGGTGATACGTTCTCTCCTAGAAACTGTAACTAAGGTTCACTCAGCATAGTTGCAGTATAAACCTGAGATGGGCTCTCCGGATGTTGAATGAATTCAAATGTGCCTGAGCAGGTGTCTGCAACAGGGATTGGCCAGCTACTCTAGCACACTGGGGTGTGCTTGGAAAATAAGAGTAGCCAACCATTATGAGAGTGACAAAGAAAGAAAGAGAGATAGCAGGCCGAAGAAAGAAAAGGAAGTAAATTTAGACATGAATGAACAATATACTTTCTTACTTTGGACAGTACACACACTTTGGTTGAAATGCATTTACACCCACTGATGCATGCTGATTACTGTGCTGGTCATGTGTAAAGAAGCATTTAAACTTACTCATACAAATACACGTGTATAGAAATACACATGATGCATTACAATGAACCACACACACAAATTTATTATTACACCTTAATACTAATAGTACTGTGCTATATACACATGTATGTGACAACTAGAAAAACCCCAATCTACCCGGTACTACTTTGCTAGATGTCACACTTACTCTGACTGCCCATCCCACATCCTTCCAGTCTCATTACCCACTACATCCCCTTTCACATCTACCCACTTATCTACCTCCACTGACTTCAGCTCTTTCAATGTTTCTCTTTCATCATCATCATCATCATCTGTTGTTTTTCCTCTTTCTTTTTCCTTCATTCTTTCTTCCTATCTTGTTCTATCTATCTGTGTTTATATAAAATGTATCAGAACTTCTCTCTCTCTCTCTCTCACACACACACACACACACACACACACACACACACACATTTGTATAAACAGGTCTTATCCCACTCTTTCTTTATTTTTTCATATAGTATATCTAAGTCTCTATGTGCTTTATGTTCATTTTGTGTTCATGTACTTGAGTGTGTTTGGAAGTGTATGTATGTAACTGGCAAAGTGGCTGGTTAATTAAAATATATGTCTAACTAGACATACTAGGTCTTTGTGTTTGTTATATGTGGATATAGCTACACTCACTCCAATTTATTTACATACGTACACACCTCTTTTCTCCTATCAATACCGTTCTCATCTCAGCCAATGTCCTCATACATCTTCTCTCTCTACTAATGCCACCAACACATCATTATTACCATTGTCACCATCACTATGACTATAACTACTAGTGATCACCATTACTACTATTACTATGACTCTAATAACCACTACAACGACTATTCCATCCATATTAGCTTTGCTACTGCTTTCTTTGCTGGCTTTTATATCCCCTTTATGTCACCATCTTCTCTTAGTTATTTCTCCTCTCTGTCTTTGTAATTTCCCCCTCTCATGATAACCCTGTCTATCTCTGATTTACTCTCCCTCTGCAGTCAGTATGAATCTCTTAACCTTTCTCATTTGCACACTTTTTGTTGTACTCTCTAGTTTTCTGCGTATCAGGCTTTATCTGTGCTCCTGGTGTGTCGCTAGAATCTGTTGCATTCACACTATACTAGCTTCCTTTTGCCATTCTTTCTATTAAATGTCTCTTTTATTCGCTTAACATCTCCCCTGTCAATTTCTTTTTTCTTCCCATATTACTATGTCTATCCTTTTTTCTCTCTCTCTCCCTCTCACCCACTTGATATCTCTCTCTCTCCTTATCTCTTAACATCTCCTTCTTTTCCTCATTCAGCCTTGGTCTGTTGAATATGTTGAATATTTTGCACCCCACACTATTTCGTTTGCTCAAATCTCCTTTCCTTTTTTTCCCTTGCTCTTTCTTTCTCGTCAATTTATCATTCTTCTGCCCTTTAGTCCTACTCTTTTATAAGCTGTCATACTCTTTTTCTTTTGTTTTCTTTCTCAGTTTATGTCTGCTTAAATTATGTGTCCGCTTTTCTTTTATTTCTATTTTTTTTTTTGCTTTTATGTTCTCTTTCTAACCAGCCTACTCTGTTTCCGCTATTATTAGATCCTCAATACACATTTCTTTCTTTCTTTTTTCTTTCTTTCTTTCCTACTCACTATCTGAAACAATTTCTCTTTTATTTACCTCTCCTAAATACTTCTCTTTCTCCCCCCCACCCCCGTCACTCTACCAATATGTTGTATATTTCATTTTTATGTAACGTCTTAGTTATTTTCCTCTCCCTGTTTAACATTTCCTCATCTTTGTTCATATTTTTTATTCCCTTGCTCTCCCTCTTATCAAATTCTTAGATTATCTTTTGCTCCTCTGGTTTATCAACTATGTTCTAATCTTTTCCCTCTCACCTCCCCCCCCCATCCTAAGGGACAGCCCTAACACTATTCGCCTACCTCCTCTCTACTTTTTTGTCCTCCATCCTTACTCTCTCATTTTTGTCAGCCTTTTCTGTCATTCTCTTTCATCTACAATACGTTCTTCAGTGCCACTTTCTTCTGCTGGTCAGGAAGAATTTCTTTCTCATTCAATATATTTTCCTTTTAATCTATTTTTTTTTTTTGTTTATTCACTATTTTTTAATTTATCTACTTGCATTATCTATCAACTTTGATCTATCTATCCATCTATCTATCTACCATAGGCAGTTCATATCTATCTAATTCTGTTCATATCTATCTATCTATCTATCTATCTATCTATCTATCTATCTCAGTCAGTTCTTTCTATTTATCTCAGTTTGTCCTATTTGTTTCAATTTGTTCCTTCTCTATTTCAGTCTGTTCTTTCTATTTCAGTCTGTTCTTTCTATTTCAGTCTGTTCTATGTATCTCAGTTTGTTTATCTATCTATCTATTTGGCTATCTATCTATCTCTCTCGGTCTGTTCTTTCTTTTTAGCTGTCTGTTCTATATGTCTGTTATTCAAAGTGTTTGTCTGCTTTTATTTACACAAACACATATGTACATGCACACACATTAGTAATGATCTCTTTCATTTAATTCTTACTTCACATTGATTTTACATTATCTTCCTCCTCTCTTTTTTTTTCTTCTCCCTCCTTCAATTGACAGAGCATTTCTGTTTCCATCCCTCCAACACTGTTCTTCTTCAGTCTGCCACAAACATGTTAGTGTGGGTATGTGTGTGTTATCCTTTTCTCCACTTCCAGCGAGTCCCTTACTCTCTGTCCCCCTATGTTGTGCTGTTTATCCATCACCATCACAACCCCACCACCATCGCTGGTGCCTCACCCATCTTCCCTCTTCTCCTGCTTTCACTTTTTCTTTCTCACCCAGCTCCAACCTGAATCCAAACCCTACCCACTTCTGTCTGAACTATAACCCTTCCTCTTACCCACTCCTGCCCCTTCTCGTCACGTCTCTCATAATTGTGCTACCACGTGCTTTTTACCTACTCCGCCTAACACCATCAACTTCTTTTCGTCAGTCTTTTCTTTCTCTCTCTTTTCAGCTTCACTCACCGTGTTAGCTTTGTATTTTTTCTTTACTGCTTTTCTGCCTGTCTGCCTGTCCGTCCGTCTGTCATCTCTTTTTGTAAATGCTTCTTTTCATTCTCTCAATTTTCAACCACGATCCTTATGGCATCCCTCTGTTTCTCCCCTTGCACTGCTATAGAGTTTTCTCCTCTCTTTCACTCACTCCCATACATTGTTTGCTTCTCTTCATTCATTTTACACACACTTTTTGCTCTTTCTGTCCTCTCTTCTTTCTCTCTCCTGTCATTTCTTTACTCATTTTTGTAGATCATGAGTTTTCTTCATCTCCCTCCTTTTGTTATACTTGTTTATTCTCTTCTTTTTTTACTTTCTTTTTTTTTTCTCTTCATCTTCTGTGTCTGATTTCTCATTCTTTTCCTTTAACTGATTGGCATATTTCTCATTACTTCGTCTAACTAAAGTTTTTTTCTTCTTTTCCTTTTTAAATACTATCTTTCTTTTCCTATTCTTTATTGGTAATCTCACTTTCTTTTCTCCCTTCAATAGTTATCTTTCTACCTCTTGAATGGCACTCCCTCTCTTTCATTTTCTATTTGCTGATGTCCTTTTTTTTCTGTTCTGTTCTATTTGTCCTTATCTCTGGTGTCATTTTTTTCTCTGATAGAAATCTTTCTCCTCCCTGGCTTTCACCTATAAGTTTCTTTCCACTTCTCTATATGAATGCTTTGGCTTCTTTTCTTTGCCTCAGTCTCTTTGTTGGAGGATTCTTCCAATTTCTAATCCTAATTCCTTTCTCTCTCTCTCTCTCTCTCTCTCTCTCACATGCATACATACATATATATATATATATATATATATATATATATATATATATATATATATGTGCATACATATAACTGTATCTATATCTGTATATATGTATGTATCTATCTATATATATACATACACACATTTGATCTGTCGATTTGCCTTTAACAACTTTTTCTTTCAAAATGTATTTTCTTTCTCTCTTTTTACTTCCATTTCTTTCTTTTCTTTTTTCACCTTTTTACCTTTTTCTCCTTGATATGCTCTCTTTTTTGAAATACTCCTTTTCTGTCATCTGTATATTGCTTCTCTTTCCCTTTTCTTTCAGTGTCTATTGATCTCTTTTGTTCCTCTTCTTCTGGTTGTCTGCCTGTTTCAGATTCATTTTTGGAATACCTCTCTCCACTTTTCCAATTATAACATCTTCTATATATCGTCCTCCCCATTCTTGTCTTTTTCTTATTGATTGTCTCTCTTTGCACACTCAATCCACTTTTGTCTTTCCATTGAATTCTCTTCAAATACACTCACTCTTATTGTGAATATTTTCCCCTTATTTTTTTGTCCTTCATTGTCTGTTCCAATCTTCTTCTTTCCTTTGTAAATAACCCCCCTTCTCTCTTTCACCCTCTCTCTCTCCACTATTGATCTTTTCTCTCCCTTCCTTGCTTATTGACTTCATCACTCATTTGCTTCATCCATCTTTCTTTGATTCTTGAACTCACCTGCTTTTGATCTTTTTGTTCTCTTTCTTTGATTGTCTTTGTCTCATTTTCTCTTTTTCTCTTAATTTATTCTTCAAGCTTCTGCATCTCCTTTATGTTTCAATATCTCTCGATTCTTCTCAACTATTTCCTTCTGGCCTTGATTAAATTTTTTCTTCTTGCTTTTTCCATTGATTTCTTAGTTTTTTTTTTTTCTTTAACTATCTTTCTGTTTCCAACATTCATTCTGTGAATATCATCTTTCTCATTCCACTAGTTTTCATTCTCTCTCTTTCTCTTCCTTTGGTTATATTAAAATATTTTCTCTGACATATCACACTTTTCCTTCTCTCTCTCGCTCTACCCTCCCATCCCCATTATTTCTTCTGAAAAATCTTTTTCATTTTTTTTTTAATTTCCGCATCTCTTTCTGCTATTTTGTTACTTTATTTCTCTTATATATTTTATATTAATCTCTTCAAATCTATCCTCTTTCTTTTCCTACCCTTCATTTTCTTTCTTTCTTTCAAGATCTTGGGTCTCTCTTTCTCTCTTTTTTTAATTTCCATTTCTTCTTATTTTGATTTTCTATCTCTTTTTCTTATTTGCCTCATCATTTAAACATATTTCATCTTCCAGCTTTTATACTTGTTGCTCTATCTTTACTTCCAAATTTTCCTCACAATTCTTTATGTCATTCTTTTCCCCACTCTCCTCTGTCTTCTTATCTTTTGGCTGTTTTTCCCATTCTTTTAAGTTTTTTTCCTTTTTCATTCTTTGTTTTTCTATATTTAATCTTTACAACCTTTTTGTCTAATCTGAAATTTTCAATATATTCTGAAATCACTCACCTCTGTTCGACATACCTTCATTTTCTTTCATTCTTTCTTTGTCTTGTTTTGCTTTTTTTTAGTTTCTTTAAAACTATATTTGTGAATATTTAAGTGCCATTTTTATTTTTAATGGTTTTCCTTTTCTTTTTCCTTTTCTTCTACTTTCTTTCCTTGTCTCTATTTTTATTCCATCTTTTTCTACTTTTTTGGCTCACTCTCTCTCCCATACTTCTTTTCTTGATCACATTTTCAACATCTTTTCTGTTTTTTACTTTCTTTCCTCTTTTTTTTTTCTTATTTCAATTCACATGCTCTTCTTCTCTTGCTCCTATTTAATCTCTCTGTATTTTTATTGTTCTATTCAGTTTTATCACATTTTCCATTTTTCTCTATCTCAGTCTCTTCAGTTTTTCTTTTAGCTTCTTTTTCCTCTTTACAGGTTGTATTCACTTTATTTTTCTTTTAATTTTAAGCCTTTTCCTTTTACTAGTCAGTCTTTTAAATTTCAACTTCATTTCTCACTCTCTCTCTTTATTCTCCTTTCATATTATTTTTTAAATCTTCCATTTTGTCATAGCCTCTTTTCTTATTCTTTCTATTCAATTCTCTTTTTTATAAATGAATCTTTATCCATTACAATTTTATTTGTTTTCTTCACATTCTTCCATCTCTTTTTCATTTTATCACACTTGTTGCATGTTTCTTTTTGTTTTTAACTCTAGTACTTCTGTTAACCTCTACATCTATCATTTTTTTCTTTTTATGCTTTATGCCTGTTAGTTCTGAGCTCTCATTCTCATTCTATCCCTTTTATAAGTTTTGTTTTCTATACATTTCTCTCTTTTATATTCTTTCTCTTTACATATTTCCCTATTATCTCATTTTTTTTAGTTTCAATTGGCTTTACGTTTTCTTCAAATTTTTCCTTTTTTTATTCTTCACTTTACTCTCTCTCTCTCTCTCTCTCTCTCCAAATCTCCTCACTCATATTTTCCAATTATTTCTCCATTCCGACACTTTCTGTTTTCCCTCTCCTCTTACTTATATGACTCAGATGTCTTTCTGTTTACTCTTTAGAAGTCTCTCATTTCTCTTTCACATATTTATTATTATTATTATTAATGCTCTCTTTGTCATTCTCTTTCTCTCTCTCTCTCTCTCTCTCTTTAAGTCTCTGTTATTTCTTTCATTTTTGTCCCTCTCTTTCCTTTCTTAGTACTTTCTCTTTAATCTCAATTTTATAATCTCTCCCTTTTTATGATGTTTCTTATATTTCTTTACAGTCCTTTCATTTTACTCTCTTTTTATTATCTTGTCAACTTTTCTGTCACAGTGGTGTGTTTATATACACAATATCTATCTTCCTCTCTCTCTCTTGCTCTCTCTCTCTCTCTCTCATATATATATATATTGTTCCCTCCTATCATTAATCTCTTTAGTCTCTCTCCCTTATCCTGACTTCCCCTTACTCTCCCTTTCTCTTCTTCTTCCTTTTCAAGGGCTGAGATGGTGGGTGGCAAGTACTTTTCATACCATCCTCCCACTATCTTCATAAAACTTCCTCCTCCTTTCATTTCTCCTACCATTCCACTTTTTAATGTTATGTCTGTTCACTTCCTCTTCTTTTCCTGCCTCACCCTTCTTTCATCTCTGGGTTCACTCTTACATTATTTAATGTTCACTGCTTGTATATCTTTTTTAATTCCTTTTTTTTTTTAGTCTCTGTGTTCACTACATCATTATCATCATCATGGTCATCATACTTCTGTTCTTTTTTATCAACTCCTCCTTTTTTTGTGGAGTCTTTCAGTTTTGAGCATTAGTCAGAGCTTATTCTGTCACATTTTCTTTTCAAGTGTTTCTCTCTCTTTCTTTCTCTCTCCATTTTTCACTCTCTTTCTTTCTCTCTCTCTCTCTCTCTCTCTCTTTCACTATCTCTTTCTTCCTCAAGCTCCTATCATGTTTCATTCCCTTTTCATTTTTTTAGTATTTCCTCAATTTTTCTTTACAGCTTTATTCTCCTTTTCTTTTACTCATAACATTTGTCTTGGATATTGTATTGTTTATCTCTTACTTTCTCTTAATTCTCATTTGCTTTCTCAATTTTCCCCTTCATCTCTGTCATTAACACTTGTATTACTTTTATAAATTCTCATCCCTTCATTTCATTAGACACTTCTGTCAATTCTTCCTTTCCTTGCTCTCCTTTTGCCACTTCAATTTCATTTCTCGTTTCCCTCTCTTTTTTTTATAACTTTTTTTTTACTCTCCCACATTAGTTTAACTTGTTTTTACAGCTCTCAGTGTCAGTTCCTTTTTGCTATTTTATTACCATTTATTTTTCATCTCTGTATTGTATTTTGTCTTTTCTACTTTTAGCTTTTTTTTTTATTGTTCCTTGCCATCTTTTACTCTTTTACCTTGTTTTAGAAATTTTCCATTTTCTCCCTGCTATAAACTTTGGTCTCTTTAATTTTTGTACTTTACATTTTATTTTCTTCATTCTTTCTGTCTACCATTTACTTTTCTTTTTTATTCTTTCCTTTGTCCTTGCCTACTAAGTTCCTCATTCACCTAAGCCTCCTCCTGTTTGTCAACCTTGTCACCATAAGTATTATAAACATGCCTCTTTTCTTTTTGTCTCTACATTAATTCTACTCTCTTTAATTTCATTCTGTGTCTTCTGAAATTTTTCTCTTTTAAATAAATTTGTGCCATTCTTTCTGTTTGCTCTAGTCTTTTGAGACATAACAAAATGGTAGGGCTGAACAATAAGCTCAACCAGGTTTCTCAGTCTTGTCCAAAGTGTTGTCAATGACACTTGTTACAAGTCCACCAAAAGTGAAAACTTTAAACTAATGTGCTAGACTATTTCTCTAGTTTTGTACTTGTAAAACCTTTGATAAACACAGTGTATTATAACTTTGTTCTGCTAGTTTTTCTACTGTTTTGAACTGACTAATCTCTTCTTTCTTTCTCTTTTAACTTGACTTCTTTACTTGAATACACCACCATTGCTTTCTTTCTTTTCCCTCTCTGCAACTTTTTATTTCCATTTCTCTTTCTGTATTTCTATGTTAATACTTTTTCTTTCCTGGTTTTCCCCATTATCCTCTCTCACTCTCTCTCCTCTCTCTCCCTCCCTCTTATTTCCCATTGGTCTCTTTTCCTCTGTTTTTGCCTTTTCTTTCATCTTCTCTCTTCAGTAAGTTTCTTTTCATCTCTTACCAAATACTTTTCCTTTATTTTTCTTATTTAATGTTTTCCCTTTTCCCTACCTCATATTCTATCTTATATTACACTTTTCATCTCCTCCAGCAGCTGCTGTCTAATATGCCATTTTTTTTCTTTTTATTGTCTTTTAATTTTTCCTTCTTTTAACTTTTCTCACTCTTTCTTTACTCTTAGAGCTCCCCTTATCATCTTTCTATTTATTTTCTTTTTTTTTCCCTCTCTTTCCCTTTCTATCCAACTCTACTTTTTTAAAAATATATTCTACCAGATTTTTTTTTCTTATCACTGTCTAATACGATTTTGTTTATTTTGCTTATGTTACCAAATTTTTAGGGCACCTCCTATGTGTGATGGTTGTCTTGCCATTGTAGTCAGTTTGATCCTTACTGAGTGGTCCATGATCATGGAAATGTATCAGACTAAACTTTGATAAATACTATCAAATAATTGTTTACTATACAAAGTTGGCCCCCAAATATATCTAACCCTTTTGAATATCTTTAGAAATGGTTGTGTGATATTCCTTTATCTTGATGACCAATCAAAGGAGACCTTATTGTGCATATTTGAACAAACACTCTCGGGGTTACTCAATCAGTAATAAGATACCACTGAGTGAGCCTCCATACTGTGTGATTGTCACATTTAAAATGACTAAAATTGAATCCTCATATCTCATGCAAAGTTTTTTGAAAGAACATGGCATGCCCAAGGTCTTTCATCTTCCTTACAATTCAAATTTGGCTCCCAGTAACTGGCTTTATCCAAAGCTAAAATTTCCTTTGAAACACTGTGGGTGAAATTAAGGAGAATTGCAACAAGGCAGTTCATGGTGATCATTTGAGTTTGTGTGTGTTCATAAGGGGAATACTTTGAAGAGACTAAAGTGCCATTGTCTTGGGGAGGATATTTTCACTAATATTAAATTTTCCAGCCAGATCTCATAATCTGTATTTTTTATTTCTTTTTCTTTTCTTGTCCCTCAACTCTCTACATTTTTGCTTTCTATTATTCTGTCTCGTATAGTCTGATAAATACTTGAAAAGTTTTAAGCATAACTAAGAAGTAACTGCTCAACTGTTAAGTGTAACAATATTTTTGGTTATTTCTTAGGTCAATAGAAAAAGCAAACACTCTCAAAAATAGTGTTGACTATCCTAAATTTATGTAGTGCCTGTAAAACTGGTGTATTGCTGTCTTATTTTGGCTGGAACAGACCAATCCTTACTTTTCAGCATGGAGAGAGTTCAAAAGCATTTATGTGGTCTTGCAAAGGAAGACTTATTTTCCACACTATAGTCTCTTTCTCACAGACACATCCTCATATGACCATTGCTACTCCATAACAAATGTGAAGATGAGCTCCATTCTTTAATTCCACTAGTTCAGACCTTTACAGCTAAAACCAGCCATACTGTTTTCACAGGGTCGAATTACTCTCATTCTTTTTGTATTCCATTTGTAAGTAGAAGGTCTCCCTCAGACAGATTCTTCCCAAGAACCATTATTTTGTGGAAAAGACTTCTGTATGGGATGCTGATCTGAACACTACAATCTTAACCTTTTCATGTTCAGGGTCAATCATTATCTATCTTTCATATCCTTATCATCTTCACTTCCCACTTCCTCCTCTTATGTCTATATCACACACTTTATTCAGCAACCCTCTACTTTAAGTGACTCTTGAGCCTGAACATTAGTAAAAAAAGATGAAAATATTTATTGCTAAGTAAATGCATTAATTTTAGGAGTTGATATAATTTTTAATTGGCCACTAATAATAATAATAATGTGCTAATGAGTTCAAGTTAGAAATATACTGACACGTAACATGACAATAGATAGTCAGTGGCTAACATCCAGTATAAAAAGCATGTGCCTAAATGAGTTCAGAATAAGCTGACAAACATTTTGTCTATAATAGTTTTGATATACTAGGTAGCATGGTTCCTAATTGCAGATCTAACCATCTTTTAGTTTTTTTTTTATCACATGTGTGCTTCTTCCTCAGCTAGCAAGTTGATGTTTTCAGTCTTTGGAAAACTGGAATAAATAATAGTGATCATTGGAAGATGATATCCAGTGATAACATGTCAGTTTCTTAAATTATCTTCATACAAATATCAAGACTGAACATATGAGAAAGCTTATGACAAGTATATAGTTCTATGAAAACAATGCATAATCTTACGTTAGCTGACTTCTATGACTTGTCTGATATGCATTATGCTAGTCATAATAACATCACTTCTGCTTTTGAAGAAATCCTTTAAGCTCCAAGAGAAAACTTTCTCTCAAAGGAGTGATGCAAAGCAATGCTATTAGACCACATAGACAATGAAGTTGAAAAATAATAGGCATTTTTCCCTAAAGTCAAGTTCAAGTTGCAAATTTTAAAAAATACTTGTTTTTTCCATTTTTTGTCTTCAATTCCAGATTGTCACTTATTTCTTATTTTCTGTCTAAAATAAGCTTTTTTTTTTCACTTCCTCATCCACCTTCTTTTTGTCATATTTATTACTTTCTGTTTAACATTTTTCTTTTGTTCCTTACATTCTCTTTCTATTTAATTCTCTTTTATTCTCATCTTTCATTGTGGCAAATATTCTTTTCTTTATGACTTCTATTGTGGCCTTTATTTTTGTTGAGTTCCTCTCTTTCCATTATTGTCTCTTCCTTCTACAATTATCTCTGATATTTTCTTTGTCTTTCACTTTTAATTTTTCATTCCCTTGACACCATTGCTTCTTCTCACTTTTTCCTTTCTTTTTTCCATCATTATTATTATTACTTCAACACCTTTCTTTATACATTTTACTTCAATAATCTTAATTTATCTCTTTCTTCAACTTTTCCCTTTGATTCTTAAACTGATCTGTTTTGCTTTCTCATCTTCTATTTTTCTATTTAATTTATCTCTTTTTTCTTTTCCCTTTGATTCCTAAATTATTATTGTTGTTGTTATTCTTCTTCTTTTTCTTTACATTTTGCACCAATAATCTAAATTTATCTCTTTCTTCTTTTCCTTTGATTACTAAACTCTTCTTCTTCTCCTTCTCTTAATTTCTCTTTCTTTTTTCTTTTTGATTGCCAAATGCTTCTCTTTCTTCGTCTCTTTCTTCTTTCCCCTTTGATTAAAAAATTCTTCTTCTTCGATTCATTTATTCCAGTTCCCCACTTTTATCATATACTCTTTTTGTTGCTTCTTTCTCTTTACCATAAGCATTACCTTCTTCTTTCAAATGCATTCATTTTCTATTTACTCTCACACAACAAAATTCATTTCCCCCTTTTCTTCTTCCTTCATTATTTCTTTAAGTTTTTCTTTTTTGCCTGTTCCAGCTTTCCTCCCATCTTGTCACAACTGCTTCCAGCTGATTTTTTGGGTCCTACTCTCAATTATAAGCCTGTTCTTTTTCAGCTTTTCTTCCATTCCTCCTGTCCCACTTCCTTCTCACTCTCATTTGCAACCATGTTTTCTTTTTGCTTCTCTTCCTATTTTCATCTGCTTCCCATTCTTTATCATGCACCAGTCAGTGCAGTCATTCTTTTCTATAACCTTTTCTCCCCTTCCTGCTACTATTAACTCTTCCTTTTGCTTTAACCTGCTCCCTTGTTACTCTCTATGATAACCCATTCCTTCTTCTCTAGGCACATCCTCTCCTCCCTCTACCACATCTGTGATCATATTTCTTTCTATTACCACTACTTACTGCCAAGTTAGCTTTCTTTTCTTTCACTTCTTCGAGGAAGCACTATAACCTTGACTCTCTCACATCTGACACCCATCTTCTCTCCACCATAACCTTTCCTTTTCTTTTGTATTATCGCCCTTTTCATCCTCTTACCCAATGTCTTATCTTTATTAGAATCTATGCTCTCCACCCTTAATTCATCCTAATGCACCCAATTGAATGTTTTCCTCTCCAGTCTTGATCCATCTTTAGTTCTTTCATATCTCAGTATATCAACTATATTCCTCCTTTTGTCAAACACCTTGACCAGTTTCTGCTGAGCTTCCAATATATATTTGTCATTAAAATAAACACCATCCCACTTAAATATATGTAATTATGCATTGTTTACAAGTATCATATATATAGATATATATTATAATGATATAATAATATAATGATATATATATATGTGTGTGTGTGTATGTGTGTGTGTGTATATCTCTCTCTCTCTCTCTATATATATATATATATATATATCTGAATGTGTGTGTGTGTATATATATATATATATAATATTATATATATATATATATATATATATATATATATATATATATATATATATATATATATATATATATATATATATATATATATATATATATATAATTAATACATATATAAAATTTCTTACTTAGCTGATTTACTTCAGCATCCCAACTCTAAGATTTTGTAGCCAGAGCCTCCAGTAATCATTCCATCCACTCAGCAGGGATATATATATATATATATATTCATTTCAAATGTTATTTTTAATGGCTACCCGTGTTTGAATAGATACCCCATTTTTTAAACATAGTGTATTATGTCTACTGGTCAATGCACTTGATATGAAACTGCAGATATGCATTTTGAGCAAAAATCTGAACAAGTAAATGTGCTTAAAAATAAAATAGAACCTTGCTTTATTGTGATGTTTTTTTAGCTGAGCAATGAAAGCACACTGGATCAGACAGTGGTTCCTCCTGCAATAGTGGGTGCAGGTTCAATCCTGCCAGAGGGCACATTTACTTTATTAAGTTATCTCAAGTATGCAAACCAGTTGATGAAATAAATACTATTTAAAATGAATGGAGTATCTATTCAAATATATGTATCCACTAAAAATAATGTTTGAAGTAATAAATGTCTATATAACAAATGTGAATGTCAGCGTGTCACTGTGTCACACTTTTTCAACTTTACCCCTAGAGGCCGTAGCCCAACATATCATACCATTTGGAATCAGGCCAACTCCATGAGCAAATTAAGACATTCCAGGCTGGATCTGAACCTGCTATCCTGAAATTTTGGATTCCCAAGTTTTCATTACTGCAATTGTTTTGCTTATTTTTTACGTGATTTTTTGCAACAAATGTTTTTGCACGATAACAATTTTTATAACTTGGAAATAAATTTGGGAATAATCAAAATTAATTGCAAAATCCAGGGAAAGTCACCCATGAAATAAAAATAATTGTTTGTACGGAAAGTAAAAACCTATGTACATCAAATTGTCTTCAAATTAAATGAAGGCAGAAGAATTATTGTTGAACTTTTAAAAGGTAAGCTTAAATATTAATGAAATAGTTCAATGCAGTGATCAGTTTTGAGTACTTCTGTAGTTTATTGTTGCCTATTGTATCTACTCCTCCCTATCTATTGTGATGAAGGCCCAATCAAGGCCCCTCCACAGAAGCTAGTTTAAATGCCGACCAATAGGGTTGCTTTTAAGCTAGTATATATAAATATATAATCATGTACCTCTTTTAGATATTTATATGAATTTATATATATATACATATAAATTCATGTATTTCATTTATATATATATATATCTCTATCTATAAAAGGCAGGATGTGTGTGTGTGTGTGTAACGAATGCACGGACGCAATTATTTGCACCGAAATTTACATGCACATGCTCCAAGTTAGTGGGAAGGCCAAGACTGACTTTGCATTTCCCAACTCCCATCAATAGTGGAAATAATCGATTTTTTCATGCTTCTACGGCAGTTTTCATGTAATTTATGACCATTTTATACTGGCCAGCATGAGAGCCTATAGCTGGCTGCCACAAATAGGCAGGAAGATTCTATTGCGTGAGAGCCAACAGCTGACTGACATGAATGTTAACTAGGATGCTAGCATGCAAAAAAAATCAATAGCTGCATTCGTCACAAGTGGGAAAAATTTAAATCTGCATGGCACTTTACTCCAATTGTCTCATTCGCTTGCTTAAACTCAACATTGATTCTGATTTCACAGAACTGGGTTGGGTGTGAAAAAGTATTTGTTGTTAACATTCTTTTTTCATTCAGTTTTTCCAGTTACGAGTCCTTTTATAAAGCTGATCGTTTTGTGTTCATTTTGCTTAGTTCTTTTTTTGTAACAGATTTAATGTTTAGTATAGAGCTTAGAAAAAATTTGCAGTGTGAGATAGGCAAGAAGTAAGGCATGTAGCAACAGCAGCATGGCAAAGGACACTCCTTTAAAGGCAAGGAAGGGCAAAAACGTCAAGTGATAGCGATTGCTGTATGAGTCGTACGATTTTTGAATCAAACACGGGCAATGCTGCTAGTATATATATATATATATATATATATATATATATATATATATATAAAATTTGTCACTCAGTTGATTGTTGTATTCAGCACCTTGACATCAGAATTTCATAGGCAAACTTTTTTGTAATCATTTGATCAACCTATCAGGAGGTTTTAGCAATTGACTGCAGATTTTCTCATTTTTGTTATCTTTAATGCCCCCCTTCTGGATCTCTGTTTTACTCTTGTCATGCTACACAGCTCTACCATCTTGGCAACTCTGATCATAAGGTAGTCTATGTAAACATCTCCTTCCACTCCTCCTCCAGCCATGAATCTCCTACTAACAGAATATCATTCTGTTATCAATGCGCAGACTGGAACTTGTTCCATGATTTCCTTCGCAACATCCCTTGGAATGTAGCTTTTAATCATCCTGTTCAAAAATAAGCATTTGAGGTCTCCTCCTGAGTAAAAGCCAGCATCAATGCTTTCATTCCAATGAGGAAATACCAAGTTAAATCACACTCATCTCCTTGGTTCTCACCTGATTGCTCAGCTACTATAGCTCACAGGAATCACTTCTTCCATCTGTACAAGAGCGACATGTCTGATTGCAACAGATGTCTCTTTGTCTCTGCTCATAATGTGTGCAAGCATGTCTTCAATGAAGCAAAGTTGCTGTTTGTTGATAGAATGAAACAACGTATTGCATCTCACAAGTTTGGTTCTATAGATTATTGGAGGCTCTGTAAGAGTGTGCTAAACAACAGCAAATCCTCAATCCCTTCTCTATTCAATCAATTCGAAGTCCTGGTATCGAAAGCAGATGAGGTTGAATGCTTTGCTCATAAATTCTTGTCTATCTCAACACTAGACCCATCCAGAATGTCCACACCTGATTTCCCCTCTAGAACTGAGGATCTACTGAGTAATATGTGCATAACCTTGTTGTTGGTCTCGGACATCATTTCTAAATTAGACTCTTATAAAGCAAGTGATGGAGATGGGATACCAGCAGCAGTTAAAAAAAAATATGCTCCTGAGCTGGCTCCAGTTCTCTCCAAACTATACAACTATTGCCTCACTAATTTTTGCTTTCCAGCCTGTTGGAAATCCTCCTCTCTTGTCTCTATTTTTAAGAATGTTGGAGACCCTTCTGACCCCTCCAACTACCACCCTATCAGTCTCCTACCATTCTTCAGCAAAGTATTTGAGGCTTTAATCAATGCCGAAGTGGTTAAGCATCTTACCTCCCATAATTTTTCTCTGACAAACAATATGGTTTCCACTTTGATCGATCTACCGCTGATGTGCTTACAGTCATAACTGAATATGTATACCAAGCTCTTGATAATAAAGGTGAAGCTCAAGCTGTGGCTCTAGATATCTCTAATGTGTTTGACAGTGTTATGTTGGCCTTCTATGTAAGCTTTAGGGCTATGGTATTACAGGACGATTATATTTCTTCTCTCGCACTTCCCGACAGTGAAACTCCCTTGCTCTTACTTGCTTCCCCACCCATAATAACTACAATCTTCAAAAATTTAAATGTAACATCAATCATCATCATCTGTTGCCTTGATCCCCGCTCTTCTTTTTATCCTTTCATCAATCCCCCCTAGACTCAGTCTTTTCTCTTACCTTCACTCTTTGTAACCACTTGCATACTAGTGGCACTCCTACCTTGCTTGGGGTGAAATGCTTAAAAATGTGTGTGTGTGTATATATATATATTCATTAGGATTAAAGTTAAATTTATTGGGTAAGTACAGTAGGATCAAGTGGTTTATAGTTTTGATAAGTGTTATATAGGAATTTGTGAAATTAGTGGACATAGAGATGAAACAGGCCGATGTGTTTTTATGTACCTTGCTTAAGACTGAAAACATAAAAGGTAGACATCACTACAAGAATTTAAATTTACTTTTAACCAAAACATTAAGATAAACTTATAAAGAACTCAGAATTAAGGATATTGTGATCAGGAAAAGTGATAAAGTTTAATATTTTGCTATTTTAAACATGACTGATTACAATTCAAAACTAGACAGTATGCATGACAACAAATCTAAATTTAAAAAACTAAGCAGAACCATTATTAACCTAATCAAGAAATATACATTATATATATATTTGGTTGTATTGATGTGAGTTTGTGACCCTGGGTTTATCACGTTTTGTCATAAAAAAAATCAATTTTGTACATTTCACAAGTTTTATTTAAGCACCTTCAAAATACTCCCCTAGGGAGATCATACACCTCTCAATGTATTTTGCCACCCCTGGAATGCCTTCTCTGGAATGCTATAGAACTCCGC